AGAGTATGATTAGGATTGGTATTAGACTAAGAGTTTGCAAGAAGCTATCGGGCCGAAAATATGATAGCGTGAAGAACAGACGGTGTATAATATCTGAAATTACTCAATGAGTACAAGCCAAAGGTCCCACTTAATGATGTAAAATTCAGACCACGAGATTGATTATATTGCCATTATAATCCGTAATTTTTCGAAAAAAGTATCCGTTATTATCGATTATAATCCATTATTTTCGGCAAGAAAATCGATTATTTTTGCCAAGATAATCCATCAAAATCGATTATTTTTAAAATGAAACTCCATTGTAATCCATTATAAATGATTATAATCCATTTTGTTTAAAGAACAAAATTCGATTATTTTTTGCAGAAATTTTGCTATATTTTTGCAGGAAAGTTGCAAATAGTATGCCATGACTTTTTCTAAAGGCCATGTCTCACAGTTCCGCTCAAGTTTTTAAAAAATTTTTTATTGTAGTCTTTGGGGGAGTGGGTTAATAATTGACACCCCCATGAATTCATCCCCCCTCCAACGAGTTGACCATCTTCCTCCCCCCAGTCCCCCCTCTCTTCAGTGGTGGGGGGATCTGGTATAAGGGGGGGTAAACTAGTAGGGGGATAGGGGTAAAACTGGGGGGTGTCAATTATTAACCCCCTCCCCCAAAGTCTACGCATAGATACTCCCCCATCATCAACCATAGGAATGGCGGGGGGGGGGGGGGGGGGGGGGTAACGGCTGGCGGTGGGGTTGTGGGGGTGGTGGCTTTTAAACTAGGGGGTGTAAACGGGGGGGGAGGTGTAAGGTAAGGGTTTTAACTGAGATGAATTGCAAAAAAAGTGACAAAAAAACAATAATTTTAACGTAAAATGTATTTTTTATGAAAAAGTAATACGTAGCAACAGCAATAAACAAGAGAAGAGGTTACCATAACCTTGAAAAAGGTGTATGGGGCAGCCTTACGCTTAAAGTTTTTCCTTTGAGGACGAGTCAGGCCGGGAAGGGGATTATGATAACCGTGAAAACAGCCCGTCAATAATCGACTGTTTTCTTATATTTTTCGAGATTCATGATTTGGAGGAATTGAAGTCAGTTAAGGCGTATGAGTTGATAGTGATTATACGCTATAAAGTTAGTTTAGCCAACAAAGCTAAGTAGCAAAGTAAGCAATTGGTTAAGTTGCAAAATCGACCAAAACAAACAGAGACTAAGCGGGTTTTTGAAATGGTACCAATTTTGCAAACCTCCCCAAAACGGAAACTACCGGGGTTAGCTTTATGAAACTCCTTGGGCGGATACTAAAGATGATTTGAGCTGGGCATACAAAATCCAGACCCCTCAGACCCCCCGGCCCCAAGTGATAACGGTTCCCGGAAGTGCAAATAGCCATATCAGAGTTCAGTAACTAGCGGTTATAGCGGTAACAGAAATATAGTATGTTATAGACCTAAGTCAGGAAAGCTTAGTGCGATATCTTATGCAAAAAGTCCCCACCTCGGCTTCCGGAAGTCGTTTCTCGGACCCCACTGAACGCAGGGAGGTAAAAATTTGAGATATCGTAGTTAGTAACGAGGTAAAACAAGTATTATAGTTTGAGCCAAATCCAGCCGTCGAATCGGAAGTTATTAGCACTTTGGAAAACCATCCCTTAATCTGGAAATAGGCATTTTGCGCAAAATAATGAGCAAGGTCATATTGATTTTAAAGCGGCAATAAACTCTACAACTCATCCTCGAAAAAGACCCCTAGTGAGTGAAACCCCTCCAGCGACTTTTCCGGTGTTAATAGGATTTTCCCCGGAAAAGTGATAATGGACAATATAGATGGGATAACTTGGGAAGTATCAACCGGATATGGATGAAACTTGGCAGATTCTATGGGTTTCTAAATCTGAATGTGGAAGATTGACCTCGAGTGACCTTCAAATGATCTTTGGGCAATTAGGTCTAAAATTGCATAGAAAACCTTGGGATTAACACCAGAAAGTGGCGTATTTCTTCAACCCCAACCCTTGGGAATGAGAATCGGTCACCATACTTTTAACTGGGAGGGAACTTACCTATTAGGAAATGAAGCAGAATTTGAAAGAGATATAATTCATAAAATGTATCCTTGAAGTAGTGGAATTATTTAAAGAACTTGGTAATCATTGAGTTCCACTTAGATCGGAGAATGAGCTATACATAGAAACTCAATCTGATTGAAGAAAAGTAGTCCCAGAGGAAATTGGCAGTAATAGAAGCATAGCCTGTGAATTCGGACTCCTTTATAACATGAATGGACGAGATATTTACCCAGCTTCCCGGAGATTGCTTTTTTTCACAATTTGATCCCTTATACGCGAATTACGCTCCCCTGATAGCTAGAAGGTCCGGGGTTTGAATAGGTATAGATTGGATTTTTAGAATCTTGGACTGAAAAAACGACCCACAAAAACGATCTTTCCCTGCCCTCGGGAGGTCGGGACATTAATGAGATAATTAAATAAAAACCTTGGAAGATTGGTTAATTAAACATAACTCGGTTTGGAGCTGAAATTGGACCTAATATTTGCACAGTTTAGTAAGAGATATCTATAATGAACTTGGGATTTAAGACTAGCGTCGTCAGAGGAAGAATTCAGTTAAGACGTTGCAAAATGGGTGCCAAAGATAATGTCGGGGCTTGTGGGGACGACATAATCCAAAAATAACTAAAACTCAAATAGACAAACTTTATAGAGAATAACAAATAGTCTACCCTTAGGCAGAAAAATGATGGCTACTAGTGAGATTAGTTGGGTTCTCAATAGTTAGAGAGCAGTTGATAAGGAGTTAGGGACTCTTTGTTTCTCCGAGTTAGAGAATCAGAAATCGCGAAGTTAAGAGATCAGTCAAAGTACCTCAAAGGAATAGTGATCCTTAATTTAGTAGGTCCTTAATAGTGACACTATTAATTTAGTAGGTCACACTGAGTGTTTATGCGGAATTACTGTAAGTAAATCATTAATTAGGGTTCTCTAGAGAAGAAGAAATTGTCAGCTAAGTCAGTTGGGATTCGAAACGCAATTAGGCATTTGTATTGTTTGATCGCGGACCCTTTCCTTTGATTAGAATACTAGATCATATTCGGGCCGCCTAGAGCCTTCTGCATTTGGACAAAGATTTATCTGAATTTAATTACTACTGGAGTTCTTGCGATCAAGGAGAGTGGGCGAGACAGCCTCAAGAGCAGCATAAAAAGGGAGCAACTAACAGAATACAGAACAGAATAGTTGCCACCAACTCAACCCTTTCGGAATTGTGGAAAGTAGTTAATCTCGGTTGCCGATCTGAACTCATTATCAAAGGGATCACTTTGCGGTGCTAGTAGTTTAGAGTGTGTGAACGGACCTAGAAAAGTAATCCCCGAAATCTACAATCTCCGGAAGTATCTGTTATAATTGGTTATAATCGATTATAATGGATTATTTTGGCATTATTATTAGGATTATAATCCAGTTTTAATGGATTATTATCGATTGTAATGGTTTATATTGACATAAAAAATTATGCTCATAATCAATTTTCAATGAATTATAGCAGATTATTTTGTATTCTTATAGATACTGACCATATTATAACAAATAAATCAAAAGTTTAAAAAATGATGCAGAAACAGTGATTTGTTTCTAAATCTAAATAGCAAGTCCGTATACGCCTTAGCCCGGAAAGTCCCACATTTCAGATCTAATTGAATGAATTAACAGAAATTTCAGGAATTTTTTTAAAGTGTCAGTTGCGTCGAACACAGTTAAAAACATTTTCTTTTGGTTGAGACGTTCGAAACACCGCCAATTTCTTCAAATTATAATGGGCTGCGGCGATCATATTTTTCTTGGGCTGACTGCGTTCAAAACTAAAAGGCTTGATTCAAACACTGTCGAACACTTTATCCTTTGGTCGATTCAGTCGAAACATAACCAGCTTGGGTCGAGTCGTTCGCAATATCGTTTGCTTGCAGCAAACACAATCGAAGCCATTGTTCTTTAATCAAGTCTGTCAAAACATATCCAAATTGGTTCGATTCGGTCAAAACATAGCCATTTTTAAATGAAACGGTCAAAACACAGCCGTTTTTGGTCTGTTCGGTTGAAACGTAAGTCCAACAACTCATTCCGGGCTACAAGAAACTATGATGCTCAATTTTGTTGCATTTTCTGTTATATTTTGTGGCTGCCCAGGCTGAGGTTCTTGAAAGATGATTTGACAGAAACAGTCGAATAATGTCCGAGTTTCGTTGTAGTTCAGGACTCTTCTGCTGATTCCCAATAAAGTCGAACACAAAGTCGAACAATGTCCGGTAAAGTCAAACAAAGTCGAACAATGTCCAGTTTAGTCGAACAAAGTCGAAAAAAGTCGAAAACGGACATCGTTCGACTCAAGAAATCGGAATCGGACATCGTTCGACTGAAAAAGTCGAAAACAGACATCGTTCGACCTTTTCGGTCGAATCATTAGTGGAGCCCGGGATGCATACGGATACTCCAATCAGCTTCAAGTAGTGAAGCTTTCTCTATAAATCTTTGTATAGATACCAATAATGTGTATTCTAGGTCTGGGAAGGATCCAAAACATTGGTTTTGCAATGGTTCGTTCAGCAGGGATTCCGAACGTATCATGCTTTCAATCATCCGCGCCTTGGCCGAATGTGTTGCAGGATTATCCCCGAAACAACTTTTTAATTTCAAATTATTGCCAGATTACCAGATTCTACAAATGTTGAATATAAAAAATTGTTGGAATTTTGAACTTTAGTGATTTTTGCTTCACTCAGACAAGTATTATGTGGTCATAAGTTTTTTGAAAAATGAATGCGCTGGTATATAAAAACATTATATCCAGATATCTGTCACTCAGGCTTAGTGATAGAAAAAGTGCTTCTTTCGTATTGTTTTCAGGCGGTAAATGCACCATGAATTGTAAAAGGCGTACTTGGTTGCCAAAATATTGATCAAAGAATTTGTCTAACCAGGTGCAGTTTTAAATTGCCATGAAAATCATTTTTAACGCTGATACTTTCTTTCAATTTAAGTTTCAGATAGCCTGTATTCGAATTCGAAAAGTACATTGTTTATAGTTCGACCATTTTGAACATTCATAGCATTATCTATCTTTATAGTATCCCCTTTTTGTTCGTTATACAAGCTTACTTATCTGCCAAGTTCCAAATGGATATTATTTTCTATTTAGTACTTTCCCTGGCAACTATCAGGTACTTTTGTGGAATTTGTCATTAAGGGCTTTTATAGTCTTACACAAACTGACACTGGGGATCTTTTTAACTATGTCACCCCAGTCGAAGAGGGAGGAAACCTCTAAGACTGGGTTAACGATTATAGGCATATACGAATTCATACCATAGGACAAATCCCCCATCGCGGGTAATTGAATAGGACTGGCATCGGCCCGCTATTTACCAGCTCCAACTATAATTTATTTCCTAAATTACTCAATATACTCACTTCTAAACTACACGGGTTGACCAAAACTTCTTTTCATACAATTTCCATATATGAGACACTTCTAAACAATTTCATACAATTCAGAACAATTTCATACAATACGTACAGAAAATTGCATGAAAACTCTATGATAAGCCTTTTTCCATTTATGGAAATTGTATGATAGGTGTTTTTCCATAAACCAAAAAGTTCATTTTTTGTTTTTAACATTAAATTTGGAAAAATTTTAGCTGTGTTTGAAACCGAACACAAGTGACAAAGACCTTGGTTTACTCAAAGCACAAAAGTTTGGACGGTCATGCATTTACAATGCATAGAAAACGACCTGAATTGTCTTCGCGCTGTCTTTCACAAATGATATAACAAAGTTAACAAACTTTTAAAAATTTGCGTTTTTCAGCGTTTTTGAAAAAAAAAATTTAAAGCAAAAAGGAAAAAAAACCAACATTATGTATCAAGGACTACGTTATGCACACAAAAAACTAAATTTTGCATGCAAAAAAAAAATTTTTAGAAAATGTTCGCTGGCTTACAAAAATTGGTTTGCGGTTGAAAAAAAAACAAACAAAATTTTGGGGCAAAATCAATTTTTTTTGTGTCGCCATCAAAAAAATGCCAGTCATACAATATACCTATATGGTAAATGTATGATAAGTATTTAAAAAAAATTTAAAACTCGGATTTTATCATCAGATTTTTTTATTAGAATCAAACAGCCACAGAAATTAGTTTATATCTTTTTCCAACCATTTTTCGAAGTTGCATGAAAATTATACGACAAGCAATTTCCCACAAACTTGATGTATGGAATTGTATGATCAGCTTTTTTGGCGTATGGAGGTCAACCCGGGTAACAAGACTTAAATGATCGATTGTAACGGACTGTTATATAGGTTTTGTGCAGGTTACATGACAAAAAAATCCCTTACCTTAAAATCACAAACGAGACGATCCCAGTGAAAAAGATACCATTCCAAAAGATACCTCGTTCTAAAATCGCCCAATCCATAAAATACCATAATCAAACATCAAACAACCTGAGAATTGAAAATATAGCGGTTAAAATCAAAGAAACGACAAAATTTTTGCTGCACAAATTTTGAATACAAATGACCTTGCTAATCACTTAGCCTTCAAATTGAAACCCAAACTTCAAAACAGCTTAGATTACAATTGAAAACGAAAAGGGTTTCCAATTAATCAAAAGCAACTTAACCAAATTTGGCCCGATATTCCAGACAACTCAAGTCAGTACAAAATTGAAAATGAGATATTGCAAAATTCTAAAGCTTTGAAATCATTTTCATTGCTAATCACTTGCCATTCTATTTCATAAAAAAAATTGATTCTCATTTTGATCAAAGGGCCGTCAGGCTCCTACCCCAAACCTAGCGTCCCGTAAATAACTTAAATTGCTCTGTGATCAAATTGCTGGATCAGACAGCGTTTTTGAATGCGAGTTGTAGTTTTGCGTTTGGGTGTTCTCCGGGAGGGTGCAAGGAGATGTCTATAAAAAGTTGATCAAACACATTTAAATTTAGCCGAAATTAGGCAAAAACTAAAACAAAATTTAATAGGTTAAATGGCAAGTGAACGAATTTCTGACTAAAAATTAGTAACTGTGTATAAACTAGTTCTCTGTTGAACTTTTTTATTCAGATCACGGTACTTTTTTTTTCGGGGATTGGTTGATAGTACTGCTGGATGCCTTCAAAATATTGAATTTTCGATTGGAGGAATCCAATTGAGTTTTTTCAAGAAACTTATATTTCGAGGATTTTTGTACAAGGGATCTTTTGGCACGGTATCTTTTGTCATGGGAGCTTTTAGTATGGTAACTTTTGTCCTAACAATTCTGTGCAGTAGCGTGCCGAGGGGTTGGGAGTCCAGAAGGCGACCGCCTCCTTCTATAATTCGGATTGCCAAACTTTTCCAGAGGGTCCCCCTTTGGTATAAGTTTACTACATCCATTTTTGCTATTCAACCTCACAATCTTTCTAAAGACGCCTTTGGCGCCATTATGAATAATTTTTAGGGGGGAGCGTGAGCCGGAAAACGCAGGTTTTTTGTCACAATTTTGCAAAATCTGCCTAAAAACGCCTCTTTTAGACTGTTTTTTGAAAAATTTTCCTGCGGCACACAAACTTTTTCAAAAAACTGCCGCCTCCCCCTTAAATGTTTCTGCGCACGCTACTGGAACTAAGTATTTGAATACCATCATTTTTCTGATGAAAAATAACGTTTTGAGCTATTTAAGTTTAAATATCGGCCTGAAGTCCCTTTGGCAAGAATTCTCATCGGCCTGTTGTCCCAGACTCCTAGGTGAGTTATCGCAGTTCACATGATACAAAATGACCCAATCAAAATTGGCCATTTAAAAAATTCAAGTTTTTCTGGAAAAAAACCATCCTGAATACAAATATTCAAAGGTTTCCAAAAAAAAACAATTAGCTTTTATCCAGGTCAAATTTTTCAATAATTTTTTCATGGTCAACTAAAATATAAGCAAACTTTTTAAATTATTGATTTGATTTGAATAAAAAAACACACCCGGTTTAATCAATTAAAACTTGTTGAGGCATCCATAAAGTTGAACATGAATCAATTTAATTGGCTGTCTGCCGCATTCTGTTGCGGCAGACAGCCAATTAAACTGCTTCATGTTTAACTGTAAAATCTGAATGAAAGAGACGAAACCCGTTTGAATCTCACAAAAACTTCTTCTCAGTACCATATGGGGAAATATTTGGGTTCAAGTCAACAACCCCTCTGTGATATCTACATAAGAATTGCCACCCCTTTAAAAGAAAAATAACCAAATTAGCACTAAGGCGTTCTCTAATTATAATCGAACTTGCTGCTTACTGATCGGTAGAAAAATCAACGAACTTAAACTACTCATTAATTACCCCCTTCTATTGAAAGGGTTGGGTAACTGTTAAGCAGCCCCAAGATTCTGAGTAAGCTATGGAAACGAAGTACTAGTCTCACCATTTTTATATGGGAAGGAGAAATATCGAGAACCTTGAACATCCTAAACATCCACGGTTTGCTGGGTTTTTACAAAGTATGTTAACTTAAAGTCTGTTGCAGGTTTTCTGACGCAGAAATTGCGCGTAAGTAAATTGAAAGTCTGATATTTTTTCGGCTTCCTATAAAAGTTTTAGCCTTGACAATCCACTATAACCAAAATGATCAATCACATTACCTCTATTAATCCAGCTGACATCTCGTCGAAAATTAGAAAAAGTAGAGTGACTTAAGTTCTACTGGTTAACTCATAGAGTGATTTCAGATAGGGTACACCGTCTGCTTGTCACGCTATCTTATTTTCGGCCGGATAGATTCGTGCAACTTCTTAGTCTAATACCGATTTTAATCTCACTCTTATATCTGCTAGTCTCAGTTAGTCTCAATAGATCTTGAGTATACTTGTTTATTGCGAGAAGGTCTCTTTCGGGGAGGCAACTAAGTTCTAAGTTAAATTCAAATCTCTCTGGTGCTGAAATTACAAGTAATTTCAACCTTACAAATAAATGGGTTGTTAGTTAGATGGATCATGATTGGTTAGTATTAAATATTTTATGGTGATAAAGTATTCAATAAAAAAATATAGTTTAGATCTGGTTCCACCCATCCGGGGTTTACAGAGTTTTTGAATCTTTTATCTTCTATTTGTAATGAAGGATGGATGATGATCATTGGTATTTGGCGAGCATCAATTCTTATTCCGTTCTTGGAAAAGTAAACTCCAGGAAGCTGGAATTGTCGACATGAAGTTGTTAGTTGTTGTTCGACAAAGACTGTGACTGCCAACGAAATCAATCTGATTTCAAGATGGTTTGTTATGATTGTTCGTTCTGCTTCGGCGGAGAACTGACTGCGTTTCCTTATTGTCTGCAAGTGACTTGAAGGTTGAGTTTGGAGGGAATGCCTTGTAACTCGGATCTGTACGTATACTTGAACATCGAGGTGGTCATTTGTCTGCTTCAATGAAATACTTTTCTGTGAAGTCAAGTCGTACTTCAAATCCTTTTGAGTTGTGATTGTGGGCGGCAAATCGGTTGTGTTTAGCCATTCTGTAGGCTGAGTATGAGGGGGTCGTCTAGTTTCTTGATGCTCGTCTTTGTGGTCATGTATGATCTACATACTGCATTTTACGATTTACATTTTATAAAAATTTGTTAATTAAGTTTTTATTTATGATTTCTATTAGTTATTATCGCAAAAGCGTTTTAATTTTAGCTCTGTTATTTTTGAAGAGTTACTCACCCTTGAGTAGCTTTCGTCAAAAATAGGGAGTGGTTCACAAAGCGTGTTTCTAGCACGGTGGGTTAGGACGGCTGTTAAGCATGCTCAGGACGTCCTCTTCCGGTGGGTTAGGCCAGGAGTGAGGGTGTGGTTGCTTGCTGGTTTTTTGTGGGGTCCTGTTTTGTGTTAACCTTTAATGTTGTGTTTATTACTGGTTTTTTCCTTTTGTTGTTTTGGTTGTGACCTTTTCTTAAAAATCAAATTGTTTGGTATGGGTTTGGCTTTCGACTTTTCGGTATTTTACTATTTCTTTTTTAGACATGTCAATGGTCTTCAAAAGAATAAATTATCCAGTTCGTAAGCTGGTTTAATCCGGTTTGGGTACCGTTGGTTTTCTTTTCTTAGTCATGCTTTTAGTTTGTGGTTTATGGTGTTTAGTAAGCTGCGTTGATTAGTTTAGTTCAATATATAATTCCTGTCTAACCTGGTTAAGAGAAAGTTGGAAACTTATTACCGCTTCTTTGAGTTGTTGTTAGTGAAAGTTACAATTTAGTTTAATATTTTAAACAATTCGTGGTGGGCGAGCTGTGCGAGTTTGGATAGGATTCTTGTGCGAGTGAATATAAAAAAAATGATTTAAAAGGTTAGTACTGCTCCCTTTTTGTATAAATTTACTACTTAGAGATTGAATCTTACTGCTTTTTGGGGGTTTAATATATTAATTGATTTTTATCGTATTGAATTTTACTACATTAGGGAAAATAATATATAGATTAATTTACTACCGTGGGTATGAGATTTTACTGCATCAATTAGTGCTGTTGGTTAAGTAAAATTTATAATGGATAAAAGAGTTTTGTATTTTAATTTGTTTTTTCTTGTTTGTAGATGATCGTGATGTGAAGACTATAGAAATAATGAAAATCATTTATAAAGAATGGTTAGTTGTATTTCTGAAACAGTTAATTTTAACTTATTCATTTGATATTTACCTATTCGTCTGGAAAGAAGCCATGAGAAAAAACATCGTGAATAGCATCAGATGTGGTTAGTAGTGTTGCTAATATGCGGATGATATTTTTAGTCTGAAGCAGTGGCCAAAGCAATTGGAATGCTTTAATGGTATCTATTTCTTCAGTGCCATAGGAGAATTCATGAGGTGTGTTTTTGGATTAGATTATAAAGTTTGTGATTATATTTAGTGTTGTGGATAAATTCTAAAATGGGTTTTCGTATAGGTTGAAAATAATCATGCGGAACAATTAGTGGTCGGGATTCTTCTGCGTTGAAGACTTTGATGAGGGGACAGAATATATACATATGCCTGATGGGGTCATAATTAGGGAGGATACCTTGAAAGTTAGTATTTTTAATACAGTATGTGAAATTAAGAAAAAACGGTGATGTGTATTTGGAATTAATGATTTGAAATCTGTGGTTAGGTTGTCGTGATGGTGTGTGTAAGTCAAAATGATTTTGTGTGAAACGTTAATAAGTGTAGGTGTGTGTTTGCTTAGTTCTCAACATGATATCGTGCGAACAGTGCAAATCACGTTCTTTGGGTGTAAAGAAGCGAAAGGTTAGTGAAAAAGGTTCAGTTTTTTTTTCATAAAATGATTGACAAGCTTGGATGTCAGATAGTGCTTCTGAGATGATGTGATAGTGTTTTTTGTCAAGTATACTAAGTGTGAATACTTAAGGTGTTTTAATTAAAAATTTTTTTGTTAATTGTGGCTTAGCAAATTGATCTTCATCAGGAAATTGATCGTGGTTAGGTCTGATGATGTTGTGGTCATACTAGTCAATTGAATAGTCGCTAGCTTGGGGTGCAGTGAGGGTTTTTAGTAATTTTTTGAATCCTACGTGCGTGAATTGTCGAGGTGTTAGTGCTGCAGTTAGTCTGAATAATTCGTTTTTATTTCTTTCAATGTCTTGTGTGGTGTTAAGGAGTTTTAAAGCAAGAGGATTTGTAAAATTATAATAGAATGGGTATTAATACATGTTCGTATACAAAGTTATGTGGTTCACGCAGAACTAACGCAGAAATATTGCAAGTTTTGCAGCAAATGATTTGCAAAAATGTAAAAATTATAATCCGTATTAATCAATTAAAATGGATTTTAAATCGATTATAATCCATTATAATAGATTTTATTGGATTGTGTTTTTACGAAAATAATTGATTAAAAAAGACAATATAATCGATTTTGAGCTCTAAATTTGAAACAATAATGGATTATATTGACAACATTTTAGGCAACAGTTTTCCATTATAATCGATTATCATCCATGGAACTCCGGTGCGGGAGTCTATTTATAACCAGGCGCGGATTTAGGGGGGGGGGGGGGGAAGTAAAGACAATTATATTGTCTTTTTTAATCAATTATTTTCGTAAAAACACAATCCAATAAAATCTATTATAATGGATTATAATCGATTTAAAATCCATTTTAATTGATTTTAATTGATTTTGTGTTAACCTTTAATGTTGTGTTTTTTACTGGTTTTTTCCTTTTGTTGTTTTGGTTGTGACCTTTTCTTAAAAATCAAATCGTTTGGTATGGGTTTGGCTTTCGACTTTTCGGTATTTTACTATTTCTTTTTTAGACATGTCAATGGTCTTCAAAAGAATAAATTATCCAGTTCGTAAGCTGGTTTAATCCGGTTTGGGTACCGTTGGTTTTCTTTTCTTAGTCATGCTTTTAGTTTGTGGTTTATGGTGTTTAGTAAGCTGCGTTGGTTAGTTTAGTTCAATATATAATTCCTGTCTAACCTGGTTAAGAGAAAAATGGAAACTTATTACCGCTTCTTTGAGTTGTTGTTAGTGAAAGTTACAATTTAGTTTAATATTTTAAACAATTCGTGGTGGGCGAGCTGTGCGAGTTTGGATAGGATTCTTGTGCGAGTGAATATAAAAAAAATGATTTAAAAGGTTAGTACTGCTCCCTTTTTGTATAAATTTACTACTTAGAGATTGAATCTTACTGCTTTTTGGGGGTTTAATATATTAATTGATTTTTATCGTATTGAATTTTACTACATTAGGGAAAATAATATATAGATTAATTTACTACCGTGGGTATGAGATTTTACTGCATCAATTAGTGCTGTTGGTTAAGTAAAATTTACAATGGATAAAAGAGTTTTGTATTTTAATTTGTTTTTTCTTGTTTGTAGATGATCGTGATGTGAAGACTATAGAAATAATGAAAAACATTTATAAAGAATGGTTAGTTGTATTTCTGAAACAGTTAATTTTAACTTATTCATTTGATATTTACCTATTCGTCTGGAAAGAAGCCATGAGAAAAAACATCGTGAATAGCATCAGATGTGGTTAGTAGTAATGCTAATATGCGGATGATATTTTTAGTCTGAAGCAGTGGCCAAAGCAATTGGAATGCTTTAATGGTATCTATTTCTTGAGTGCCATAGGAGAATTCATGAGGTGTGTTTTTGGATTAGATTATAAAGTTTGTGATTATATTTAGTGTTGTGGATAAATTCTAAAATGGGTTTTCGTATAGGTTGAAAATAATCATGCGGAACAATTAGTGGTCGGGATTCTTCTGCGTTGAAGACTTTGGTGAGGGGACAGAATATATACTTATGCGTGATGGGGTCATAATTAGGGAGGATGCCTTGAAAGTTAGTATTTTTAATACAGTATGTGAAATTAAGAAAAAACGGTGATGTGTATTTGGAATTAATGATTTGAAATCTGTGGTTAGGTTGTCGTGATGGTGTGTGTAAGTCAAAATGATTTTGTGTGAAACGTTAATAAGTGTAGGTGTGTGTTTGCTTAGTTCTCAACATGATATCGTGCGAACAGTGCAAGTCACGTTCTTTGGGTGTAAAGAAGCGAAAGGTTAGTGAAAAAGGTTCAGTTTTTTTTCATAAAATGATTGACAAGCTTGGATGTCAGATAGTGCTTCTGAGATGATGTGATAGTGTTTTTTGTCAAGTATACTAAGTGTGAATAATTAAGGTGTTTTAATTTAAAAAATTTTTGTTAATTTGTAAAATTATAATAGAATGGGTATTAATACATGTTCGTCTACAAAGTTATGTGGTTCACGCAGAACTAACGCAGAAATATTGCAAGTTTTGCAGCAAATGATTTGCAAAAATGTAAAAATTATAATCCGTATTAATCAATTAAAATGGATTTTAAATCGATTATAATCCATTATAATAGATTTTATTGGATTGTGTTTTTACGAAAATAATTGATTAAAAAAGACAATATAATCGATTTTGAGCTCTAAATTTGAAACAATAATGGATTATATTGACAACATTTTAGGCAACAGTTTTCCATTATAATCGATTATCATCCATGGAACTCCGGTGCGGGAGTCTATTTATAACCAGGCGCGGATTTAGGGGGGGGGGTGGGGTGGCGTTGGGCGATTGCATTCCCTCAGGGATTCGACCCCCTGCCGACCCAAATAGTGCCCCATTTGATACTTTTTAATAAATCCATTTTTGGCCGAGCGACCCTAAAATTTTTCAAGAGGCTCCCTCGGCGCCAATATACACTAATTTTGATGGGGGAGCGCGCGCCGAAAAAACGCGATTGTTTGGTCAAATTTTCCAAAAAGTGCCTAAAAACGCCTTTTTTGGACTGTTTTTTCAAATGTTTGCCTGCGGCGCAGAAAGTTTGGGGAACTAAATTGTGCTTGGGGAGAGCTCAAAAAATCAATTCGGTCGACTTAAAAAAAATGTCGACAAAATTTTTGAAAACGTTTGAAAATCCTAGATCCGCCCCTGTTTACAACCCCCCTCTCTTGAAACGGGGGAGATTGTGAATTAGATCCACGCTTTTGCCTCATAATATGGTTTTTACTATAATTTAGAGCGAAAAGAATATAAGAGAACAATTTTCAGAAAGTATATTTGTTATTTTATCGCTTTTATGCTTAGGTGAATGCGTACAAAACAATTTGATCTGCTTGTGCAGCCAGATTTTGTTACTGCTATGATATTTTTCAGTGGTCGAATACGAAGATGCCACGAACTCCAGTGGTATCGTAATTGGCATTACAATGACATTCACGCCAGGCACTCTGTACCGAGATGAGTCAGTGGTCTTTCAGCTGAACAGTGAAGGCTGGTTTTTCGACAATGGTTACACAGATGGCCAACCAGGAAATGGACTGGAACAGGGAAGAGCTTACAGCTACCGACTGGAAGACAGCATCGGCAGAGAAATCACCGAGATCTTTTGCACTCGTAAGAAATGCATTTTTCAGACTTAAGACGCGTATGTTGGCTTTTTCTGTTTTGTTCCAATCAGTGTCCTTCTTTTTTGCTACAATCAAGGTTGTGTAGTTTTGATTGTGAGATTTTTTTAGCGTTTGCAGGACTGGGTGTTTGGCAAAATATTTTGGGAGGTTATGAACAAAAAGTCGCGGTTTTTCGACCTGCTATCCTTCCATCAATACTGGTATATGTTATCTTAGTGCCGAATATGTCATAGAAAACTTACATTGTTCAACCAGAAACGGCTAACGGTAACAGTGCCAACGGTATTTCCAAACACTTCTGTTAGAAAAAAATAGGCGGCAGAAGTGAGAGGAAGTCATAGGAAAGTTTGAGGTAGCTTTTTAACTGTTCAAATTGTTTTCCTATATTACCATAATGGCGCTAAAATTTTATCTTAGTCACGCCAAAAGTTCGTTTCAGTCGCGCCTACGATTTATCTTAATGGGGCCGGAAAAAAATGTTTTTGTCTTGCCAAAGGCCTCGAACTGACAAAAATGGATTAGGATCGATTTTAGTATGAAAAAATTACGTTGATTAAATTGAGATCGATTTTAGTATGAAAAAAGACGTTGATTAATTTTAGATCGATTTCAGCATGAAAAAAGTATGAAGATAAAACGAGAAAGATGATGATTGATTTGGATCGATTTAAAATTGATTTAAATTGATCTTAAATCCCAGCTAAAATAAAGTTGATCCAAATCGATTTTAAATCAATTTAAATGCATTTTTCCAGTCTGATTTTGTTTTTTAATTTTAAGGGGATTAAAAGGGATTTAAATCAATTCAAATCGATTTTTTTTTGAGATTTATCAGTTTCGAAATTTGATTGCATTTATTCATTGCCTATCATTTTTCATTTTACATCCATAGCGTTTTGTAGCATAAAAAAGACCAAATAAGAAGACCAAAATATCGATAAAATTTCCTAATTTTCTTGCATATTTTGAGTTCAAAAACTGATCTATATTGACCCTTTTCTTAATTCGTTTTATAAGTTCTGCCCAAAATCTGATTCATTATCATATTTTCCTATGATATAATTGCGTATTAACGAGGTCAAATTTTAATTAATTCTGATTTTTTTCTTGTTTGTTACATAGGACTTTGCAAAATCTGTTTTACAACAGTTTTCTATAACTTCATTGCATTTTTTCGAGCTTTAAACTGATTTATGTGGATAATTTTATTGAATTGTATTACATCTGGCATGAGTTTTACATTTAAAAAATCGAGAATAAAAATTTCCAACAATTTTTAAAGGGTATGTTTTTTTTCGCCTTGTTAGCAAAAAAATATCTATTTTATTGGGTCGGAAAACCCATCGAAATCGATTTAAATCTTAGACACTTTTTTAGACACTTAAATCGACTTAAAATTTTCAAAAAGATCGATTTAAATTGATTCAAAATGGATTTAAGTGAGATTCCGATGGATTTTAATGAGTCGGAAAATCCATCGAAATCGATTTAAATCGATTTTTTAGACACTTAAATCGATTTGAAATTTTCAAAAAAATCGATTTAAATTGATTTAAAATCCTATTGAGTTCATAAAATGTACATGGTTAATCGATTTAAATCGATATAAAATCGATTTAAAATGAATTTAAATCGACCGGAAACCATTTCTGTGCGGGTTATAAACGCCTCAAAAATCTTGTCTTAATCCCACTAAAAATTTTGTTTCTATCCTATCAAAAATCATATCCTACTCGTTTCAAGCATTTGTATTATTCACGTCCAAGTTATCTCTTAGCCGCACCAAAAAACTTTTTTAGTCGCACCAAAATCGTATGTCGAGCCGAAAAAGTTGTTTCGTAGGGATAAAGTCTTGTGTTCATCAAATCTAAGTTTTCTCTTGGTCGCGTCAAAAACCTATTTTTAGTCGTTCAAAGTCTTAGCCACAACAAAAACATAATTTAGTCGCCCCCAAGTCTCATTCTGGCTGCGCTACTGACTTATCCCATTCGCGCCAACATCCTACCTGTCTCTAAATCGCACTAACGTTTCTTATTGGTAGCGCATTGTCTTATCTGCGCGAGAATTCTTTTTTAGTCGCACCAAAGTCTCATCTGATTTAAGCCAAAATCTTATAGTAAACGCATTAAACAATAAATCTGGCAAAACATAGTAGAATGATCGTAGCAATTTCTGATTTCAAAAATTTTACGCGAAGATAATTGTGGTCAATCAAACAACCATACGATAACTTTTTCGAAAAAAATATAATCATCATCATAGAAGATTATTGACTGCTAACTACTCAATTTAGTTGTCAAGCTTGAACAAATTCCAACCCAAAAAAGGCCTAACTTTTTTTGTGTGGTTATGAAAAAACATGTTTCAAAACAATTCACTAAATAAACCACTAAGCCCCGGGTGCACGAGATTTGTTGCGCTTGTTGAACGAAAAACAATCTAACTCAGCCAACATCGTTTTGCGAGCAGAAAATGGTTAAGCGTGTCTTCTTTAGATTGATAGGATCCGAGGTCAAATGGGGATAAAGCTGTGCCTTCAACTAAATTTTCACTAAAACGAAAAAGCTGTACTGAGAACTTTGTCGGCCAACTTACAGGAACCGATTTTTGTTTTAAATACCCGCTGCTTACAGCTGTAGACACTTTTCTCACGTTACCCACCCTGATTTAGGCTTCCACTGAATCTAGTGCTTACTTGGTTAGCTGTAGTGTACCAGGAGGGCTGGTGCGCGCTATTTTTTTCCCAGATGCATGGGAGTTCATTTTTCATGCATGGGAGTTCATTTGGGAGTTCAACAATTCTTGAATAAAGGATGCTAAAACCGCCAACTCTCAATTAACCGCCAAATTTTTTTAAGTTGCGCAGCGGGGTGGTTTAAGAAAAGACCATGGGGTTGGAATTTATGGATAGACTTTGGTGGAGTGACATAAGAAAAGACCTTCTTGCGGCTTAAAAAAGACTGGGTCGTGCCAGTTTTTTTTCTGTGATGGAAATTTTCGGTCGTGCTGTTCGAGCTATTATCGTTGGTTGCTCCAGTTTTTTGGTCACGTTTTTTTTGGTCAATCCTGTATGTAATTTCCAAAGATTTCCTAACCCTAAGTTATGCCGGTCCGGAATTATTAAATTTGGGTGGGGCCGGTCTGATCTTCAGTTGCAGACATCGACTCATGGTTCTTTCTTAAATTTAAAAGTTTTCTGAATTTGAGGTTAGGTCATGATGACTTCATTTTAGGTCCTGCTCCTCCTTATGATCTGAGGACCACTTTGCAGAATGAAACCACTGCGCTCGTTGTGCACAAAAGGGTTCCTGCATCCCTTGCGAGTGGCTATTACATAGGATTGCTTGAGATCGACCAATATTTCGACAACTTCGAAGGTGCGAAATTATTCTAGTATTGCTTATGAGGCAAGCACAAGTTCTGAAAACAAAAATTATTGTTATTTTGCGCCCTTAAAATGGCCAACAACATACTTTTCTTCAAAACGTTTTATATACGTTTTTTGCTTTTAATCAAACTTTTCATCCGAAATGCTCTGAGTTGATTTTTTTAGTTGAAAAAAATAATTTCTTTGAATGAAACAGTTTTAGCTTCTTTTAGTATATCAAGTATTGCTGTTTAGTCAGATTTCGATTGACTGGGACTCCTAGTCAAAAAATTAATGCTGTTTTTACAGTTTTCAGTTTGAACTATATAATTTCAACTTTTTCTTTTTTTGCTACCTTTTGGTTGTGTTGTTCTCAAATTCTTGCTTCTTTCTTCACTGCATAGTGTTTATGAAAAACAACTACTGCGCAGACATTCTGATTTTGCATTGGGACACATTTATCACACTCTGGCCTAGTTTTGTTAAAAGAATTAGTTGGTATACCAACTTCTATTTTTGTGTTTGATTCAGTTGTAATTTGAATTCGATTTCGTAACCTTCAAAACTGGTTGAAAATGTTTTTTTTTCTTAAATATTTCTTACCGACGCAGATATTGTGGTAGGTGGTAAATTTTTCGGATCTTGTTAACCCTCCCCCCACCCTCTATGGAACCTTGTAACGAATCTCCCCACCTATACAGAAAAATTTGAACAGTTAAGCAAATACGAATTTGGTACCTTGTAACTAAACCCCCCATATTGCAATGGGGGGGATTCTCAACAAGATCCCATTTTTCATATATTTAATCATTTTAAACGAAAGTCCAGCCAGTATTTAACGAAAGTGTTTGTTTTGCTTGATTTTTATTAAGGTTTAGCTGAGAAATTTTAAAATCTCATAATCACGTTTTAAAATGTGTTTACTGAAAAGACACAGAAAACAAAAAACGTTGAATTTTTTGTCCAAATTTTTTCTTTTACAACGGTAGTTAGCCATTTCATTGGTTACAAAACTTTTATATGCAGACTCTCTTTACATTTTTAATGTTCTTAATTATACATTCTTCACAGTGCCGCCTCTAAGTTTAGTCGCAAGAAATTGGTTATAACGGTTTATTATGTTGACTTTTTGACAAATTTAATTGTTTTTAATTACCAAAGTTGGGTGCTTAAAAGATTTATAATTGATTATAATCGTGATATTTTCCAAAAGATTATAATCCCTTAATAAATGGTTATAATTGATTATAGTTCATGCAGTAAAACTATAAGGTCATTTATAATTGATTATAATCATTTATAGTTTCTGATTTTGCCAAAAATATATAATTATGCCATATGTGTTATTTTTTTCGGTCAATAGCAAAATCTCTAAAAGTGAAATGTCTTGTCAGACTTTGGTTCATCTTTACCACAGAACAAATGTTTCTCAGATATCTTCAATTAATTCAAAGGCTGCAGCGGCAGGTGAAAAAAAGTTTTTCGAAACAATTTATCAAACTAAAGCATTGTGCTAATAATTTGGTGGCAAAAAAGTCGAAATGTGCCTCATGAAACAAATGGAATAAAAATTGAAAAAAAGTGTTATAAAATTTAACTGATGTGAAAACTGCTTAAAACATTTTTCCACTTATCAAATAAACCATAAAGACTACAAAAGCATAAGAATTAAGCCATTCAGAATGAAAATAACAAGGGCAAACAAAAGGGAATATAATCGATTATAATCGATTATTACAGATATTTTCTGCAAAACACATGAAATAGAAATTCTGAATAAACAATCTATGTATCAAAAGAATGTATGATAATTGATTCAAAATGGGCTTTAAAAAGATATTATAATCAATTATATGATTGAAGTTGATTTTTTTCTTAATTTTATGAAGACTGGTACAAAAAAAAACATAATATAACTGACTATTAACGCTTGAAACCGGATGTGAGTTTGTATGGTTTTTAGGTCAGACCATTTTTGCTTAGCTTTTCGAGAGCCTTCCTTCATGACCAACTAAAAAATTAAGGCTTTGTTCTTTTCCACCGAACTGTCGATAAATTGTATTACTTCTTTTGAGTTCCTAAATTGCTGGACAGTTAACGTTGTTTTTGTTCCGAGTTTCGAAAACTTCCTGTGTTCGGTGTATTTTTTAAACACGTTTTGACCTTTTAATTAGCCAATTTTGACAATCGAAGTCTTTCGATGCAGTTTTTTCAGACAAGTTTTGTCTTTGTATCTGTAATCACTGCAGTTTTCTTTTCAGACAAAATTTGACTTTTTAATTATTCACTTTTGATGCTCGAAAACTTCGAAGATTTCTGTAATCGATGTATTTTTTTCAGACAAGTCTCGTCTTTGTATCTGTAATCGATGTAGTTTATTTTCAGGCAAACCTTGACTTTTTAACTAGCCAATTTTGACGTTCAAAAACAATTAAAACTTCCTGTAATCGGTAGAGTTTTTTTTTCAGACCAAATTTGACTTTTTAACTAGCCGCTTTCGAGGTTCGAATTTTTTCAAAGACATCCTGTACTCGAAATAGTTTTTTTTCGACCGTATTACTAGCTTTTTTCATAAGAAATTTTACACCATATGAAGATAAAAAAAATCACCTGTGAAATTTTAATGTAAGCTTATGGGGTTTGAAAATTCCATTTTGGCCATTCAGTTTTGCGCGACAAAACTCGTGCTATTACAACCTAAGCAGCAATATAATAACGCTCACAATCTGGTCCAATTTGGTCTGATGCTAGCAATTTGGATCTAGCATTAAGTTGCTAATTGCGGATTAGATAGTTTTGTACTCCACATTACGCGTGGTAAAAAAAACCCGAATTTTTTTTCTTCAATACGAGGCCAAACTGTGCACTGGATAGGCGCACAATTTTGTGTCCCTATGCTCCTGGATTCCAGAGACTAGTTTTTAAGAAAAGGTTCCAAAATTTAAGTGGATTCCACCTACAACATTTCTGTGTACTCCGCGTACAAATACTTGCAACGTAAATTTTGTCGGCACTTTTGTTTTGTCGAGGATACCGCAAGAGGAGAGTATAGCTATTAGTTCTGGATTCCGCAAAAATAAGTGGATTCCCCAAATGTATGCGGATTCCGCTTACAGTTTGCAGATTTCGCTCACAATTTGCGGAATCCACTTACAACTTGCGGATTCCGCTTACAGTTTGCGGATTCCACTTACAGTTGCGGCCTCCAAGACAGCTTAAATTTCCTAGGCATATACATTAATACTTGTTTGTGGATTCCAAAAATTTTGTTGCGGATTCCGCAAAATTGCCTGTTTTTCGACCGATTTTAAGCAAAACAGTGTTTTAGCTATTTGTTTGTGGAATCCAAAACAGCAAAGAATATCAAAGAAAAGTTAACAATGTTGTGGATTTCGCGACAAATCTGATTTGGGCCTGTTCTGGAATCCGCTTACAATGCACAAAATGCACAGTTTGGCCTCGTAACTATAATGGACTGTTTGAACACTGTTTTTGTAGAGTTTGATCTTAGATAATACTTTGGCTGAGATCGAATTCAAACTAAATTTTATCAATGTAAATAGCATTATTGGTGTACAATTAGAAAATCCTACAGTTTAATAGATTTTTTTCTCAGTAATTTTCTTGCATCCAAATTTTTGGAACGCATTGGAACAGTTTTTAGAACCGTAGTTATTTTTTATAAAAACCAAAGTACAATTTTTTTATTAACTGTTTTTAAATTGCTCTTTAACTATGAAGTTGAGAGCCTCGTTCTGAAAGTTTCAATACTTTTGTTATTTGTTTGTTCTTGTTATTATTAGTATTTTTTCCTTCTAAATCGAATTGCCCAAAAAGTTACAACACCGCAAAACTGTATGGCAACATAGGATCGTTTTTTGTTTTGTTTTGGGAGATCTCTGTAGTTAGAAAGAAAAACAAGGTTTCGAAGAAGCTTGAAACTCAAGTCTTCCACAAAGACCTCAGATCCCCTCCTGTGTATGCTAATTGGGATTTAGAAGTATCACCCTAAAAAAATTAGGTGTTGATTTTTGCATCAAATTAACATCAAATTTACTGGTTCAACGAATTGTACAGTTAATTCAATTGATTTTAAAATAAACCAACGGTTTTTCAAACATTTTCGGGAGCTTCTCTTATAAGTTGATTTTTGCGAAGCGAGTTTTCAGAATGCCAATTTATGAAAAGGTAGGAATTTTTTTCTTTTTTTACATGGTAGAAACAATTGTAAGAAGAATTGAAATAGTTGTTTTAATGTTTTGTTGCACTGAGTTAGAAAGAAGCATTTTAAAATTGATTTGCTGATCGAATTAATTTTTTTGGGAAATATATCATTTAGGTCCGAATTGTTTATTGACTTTTGACAAGAAGGTGGAGTATGCAGAGTGCTTAGTGAAGTAAAGTCTGGTTGTTTAGATATTCAATTCCTGGTTCTTTTTTTTATTTTGTATGATTTGGGAAATTGGGAGGTAGTATGTATTCAGGCTGAAGGTTCAAGTTGTTTTTTTAGGCTAATTTAAATCTTTTTTTGGTAATAATCGGGGTATAAATTGAGACAATTTTGTTCTTTTTTGTGTTGATTGATAGAAAAAAGTTTTAACTTCTTATACAAAAATTATTTAAGACGTCAAATATGCGGGTAGCGCTTATTTTTGACCTGGAGGTCTTTGAGGTGGAGCTATTGATTCAATTCAAACTTGAGTTATGTCGGCTAATGATAGCGGTATTGTTTCATTAGAAATTTAGATGACTTCAAGTGACTTGATTGGCTGATTTTGAGCTAAGATTAAAAGATTTAAAAAGATTATATGTAGTGAGAGGTTTCTTTTAATCAGGACGAAAAATCTGTTATTAAAAATAGGATTAATATCAATATTTAATTAGAGGTTGTTTGAATTCCATTTCTATAATAATTAAGAGAGCGGGCTGAAAACTTTGTAAAGTTTTTTTTTGATTTTTAAGGCGAGATGATTGGAGTTGACGTCATTTTTTTTGTTTCGGGTATTAGAA